ACTTGCTTATCTGTCACTTTCCAAATCACTATTTTCACCTCCGGTCTCCAGTCAGAGTTTTGCAATTGCAAACTTGTGTAATTCGGACAAAGAATCATTGCAACACTCCTTTTCCAGATGCTGCCCTTACCACATGGTCTATGGAAGCTTCTGATGTATTTGAAAAGACTGGACGTCTACAATGGAGTCAGCTGCTGCGAGGAATCTCCTCCAAAAGATCTACAAAACACGTGCAGGATATTGTGATGTATGGGAGACTTTTGCGAACTCCACCAGAAGTGTTCTGGTGATGTCTCAACTGCGAAGCACAATGTAGGGAAGGGCAGAAGAGAAAACATTGGGGTGGGATGTTGAGAGCTGAGATAGTGTTGTACCACAAAGGCAGCCTACGCATGAGAATAAGCCTGGGCAACACAGATGAGGACAGAAACCCCAGCAGGGAAGCACTGGTCCTTAAGAAGAGATAACCAACCTTGGCTTACATAACTTGTAAAGGTAAAGGACCCCTGGACAGTTAAGTCCAGTTGGGACGCAGGTGGGGCTGTGGTCTAAACCACTGAGCCTCTTGGGCTTGCTGATCAAAAGGTCGGCGGTTCGAATCCCCGTGACGGAGTGAGCTCCCGTTGCTCTGTCCCAGCTCCTGCCAACCTAGCCGTTCAAAAGTATGCCAGTGCAAGTAGATAAATAGGTACTGCTGTGGCAGGAAGGTAAACGGCATTTCCATGCACTCTGGTTTCCGTCACGGTGTCCCGTTGCGCCAGAAGCGGTTTAGTCATGCTGGCCACATGACCCGGAAAACTGTCTGTGGACAAGCACCGGTTCCCTCAGCCTGAAAGCGAGGTGAGCACCACAACCCCAGAATCGCCTTTGACTGGACTTAGTGTCCAGGGGTCCTTTACATTTACCTTGCATAACTTGATAAAGACGTCAACCCAGTGTACAGCAATTTTTTTAAAAAATGAATGCAGTGCTAGGAAAATAAAACTGCCAACAACCTGATGCCATTATAGAAATCTATGCTGTAACTGCACTTGGAATATGGTAGACATTTCTGTCCACCTCACCTCAGAAAATGTATTTTAGAGCTGGGAAAGGATTGGGGGGAAATGGCTGTACAGTGGAACCTCGGGTTACATACGCTTCAGGTTACATACGCTTTAGGTTACAGACTCCGCTAACCCAGAAATAGTACCTCGGGTTAAGAACTTTGCTTCAAGATGAGAACAGAAATCGTGCGGCGGCGGCACGGCAGCAGTGGGAGGCCCCATTAGCTAAAGTGGTGCTTCAGGTTAAGAACAGTTTCAGGTTAAGAACGGACCTCCGGAACGAATTAAGTATGTAACCACAGGTACTACTGTACTCTTAACTCCACATTTGGAGAAAGTATGCCTGAGAATCAGAAGTGGACAGAGCACTGTTGCACTCATATTTTGTTTGCAGGCTTCCTATAGGCACCCTGGTTGGCCACAGTGAGAAAGAACAGGATGCTGGACTTCATGGACTTTTGGCCAGAACTATCAGGGTTCTTCTCATGTAATTAACCAGAGTGGACATGCAAGAAGCCAGTGAGGTTCTGCTAGGAGCAATTCCTGAGAACTGCATGGTCAAGGGACAGAGGCTTCTAAGTAGCTTCACCACGGAGGGAAAGCAAGAACTATTTAAATAACTGAACTGTGTATAGATCAAGGGGGACTTCGTTAAATTAAAGCAATTCAATTCAAGCAGTTCAATTAAAGCAATTTATGTTAATTATAAACGGGACCGCTTCAATCCCATGGGTGCAGCTTGATTCAGCTTCTTTAATACCTTTCTTACAAGCACTTCCCTTTCTGAGCCATTCCTGGGCAGCTATTCATAAAATTGATAACCCGTTTCTTAGAGTGACTTTTCAGAGGTGGGGGAGTTGGCACAATAAACCAGGTCCTGGGGGTCCCCCCCCCCATTCCTTTTCTTGATCACCTGCAGTTCTGAGATGACAATAGATACCTCCAGTACGGGGAGTGGAAACCCAAGGGCTGTTCTGTGTGAGGGATGTGATAAGTTAGAAACCCTGACTCAAGTCAGATCTTCTATGAATGCTTTGCTGATGAGGGGGAAGGACCTTCCTTCTCAAACATTTGAATATTTGAGAATGCAGTCATCTGAGCATCTGAAGATATTAGCACCCTTGTTGTACAAGTTATTTGTTTAACATCTCTGTGGGACCATCACTGAGGAGCTTGTGAGGGTGATCTGGGTATACAAATAGATGAATCTGCCTGAATCTACACAAGAAGCTTCACTCAAGTTTCTATTGCATTGGCACTGGACTTCTGTGAGGCTATCACATATGCGAAAAAATAGCTTCACCACTAACCCACTATGTTGGTGAGCTTGTGGCTATAAGGGCACATTTTTCCATGTGTGGTGGGAGAAAGTAGCATCTAATAATAATCATCATCATCATCATCATCATATTATTATTATTATTTATACCCCACCCTCTCCAGCCGAGGCCGGGCTCAGGGCAGCTAACAACCAATAATAAAAACAAGTTGACTGAAATACAACTTAAAAAACAAGGTGAAATACAACATTAAAACATTAAATGCAGCCTCATCACAGGAGGAGAAAGGGAAAAAAAGGGGGGGGAGGGAATCAAATTGACTCCAAGCCAAAGGCCAGGCGGAACAACTCTGTCTTACAGGCCCTGCGGAAAGAAATCAGATCCTGCAGGGCCCTGGTCTCATGAGACAGAGCGTTCCACCAGGCCAGAGCCAGTGTTGAAAAAGCCCTGGCTCTGGTTGAGGCTAATCTGACTTCCTTAGGGCTCAGGACCTCTAGGGTGTTGCTATTTATGGACCTTAAGGTCCTCCATGGGGACCTTAGCAATCAATATTAGCTGATCTCTCAGCCCCACACTCCAGTTACAGTATTGGCACACCTAGCCAATGAAAGCAGTTTAAACCCTACTTTTCTCCATGAAAGATTGGTAGCATGGCTGTTAGCTGCAGCCAGACTTGAGATTGCTCAGCACAGGAAAGTCGTCTCCCTCCCCCAGCCCCTCTCATGAAGGGGGCTTGAGAAAGTGTGGGGTCACATTAACACATCATCAGAGGGTGCATAGCAGGGGTGGTGGTGGCAGGCAATGAAACACGACCCCTTTGACATTATATGGTTCCCTTTCATATGTTCCCTAAACATGACTAGCGCACAACCCAAACCCCCAACAACACACACCGTTTTGTGGTGAGGCAAGCTGGTTAGCGTGTGATTTCCTGCTTCTTCAACTGTATTAGGCACTCTTAATTTGGGTCCCTTCAAGAATTTTCCTCTCACCAAAATGTGCATAATTGAGATGGATCTTCTTACCTACTTGCATGGACAATAAATGCGCTACACGGTTGTTGATGGTTTTCTACATTGTTATTTTGCATAACATACTGCCATTTTTTTATAGAGAGAGAAAATCTAATAAGCAATTAAAAAACCCAAAAAGGAGCTCAGGAAAGAAGCATCCTCTTGCCAGTATGAAGGCTCCATACTCTCCCACCGAGCTTCCATTAATCCCAAAGGGGCATTATATGGCCTAAAAGGTAAAGATAAAGGGACCCCTGACCATTAGGTCCAGTCGTGGCCGACTCTGGGGTTGCGGCGCTCATCTCGCTTTACTGGCCGAGGAAGCCAGCATACAGCTTCCGGGTCATGTGGCCAGCATGATTAAGCCGCTTTTGGCGAACCAGAGCAGTGCACGGAAATGCCGTTTACCTTCCCGCTGGAGCGGTACCTATTTATCTACTTGCACTTCGTGCTTTTGAACTGCTAGGTTGGCAGGAGCAGGGACCGAGCAACGGGAGCTCACCCCGTCGCAGGGATTCGAACCACCGACCTTCTGATTGGCAAGTTAAACCACAGAACCACCCGCGTCCCTGTTATATGGCCTAGTACAGCTCAAAGAGATGCATTTGGTGAGCTGCAGCAAGCTCAGTCCCTTTGATGCTCAGACTATGCAAGCAGGTCGAGTCCGAGAGTTCTTTATGGGGGGTCATACCTTATCACAGCCATAACCTTGTTCTTCTAAATAAATAAATACAGATTTGATCAGTCACTTCACAGCCTGGGACCATCAAAGCAGCAGACACCAGATAAAAATTAAGATGAAACACAAATAATGCGGATTCTAGAAACAATTCAAACCATTCCTGCATACTCTTAAAAACCACAAAACCCATTCCTACAGCTGTACGATTGAAGTTTCACAAATGTCTGGGTTGCACTTCAGGGAAAACCTTTAAAAGAAAAACATATGCAAAAAGTGCCTAAACATTGTGACACTGGGCACAAACCTAATATCAGCTGGTAATGAATAATGTTGCAACACTAAAAGCCCAGTTTTTGGTAAAAGCTGAGCACATCTCTGGGTCATACAGTTCTCTCAGTAGGGCTGCATCTGAGGAGTGTGGATGACAGCCAGACCTATGGGTATAGGGTGGTAAAGAAATCATCGTCGTCGTCGTCGTCATCATCATCATCATCGGAGAAGTAGTCCCTTAAGACATCTGGTTCCAAATTGTTTAGAGTTTTAAATGCAAAACCTTGAACTACGTTCAGTAACATATCAAAAGACAATGCAGCTCCCTCAGCAAATGTATTTTATTTATCAATAAACACATCAAAGGCACATTAGAGTTGTTTTATCCCAGTTTCTTAATGATGATCATTGACCATGATAACAAAGGTTAGATTTTCAGAGGAAATTTTTCTAAGAAAATGCCTGAGATTTTTCATTTTCTCTCTCCAGAAAGAGAAAAGGCCACTTTGCAGAATTTTCTCTTACTACTCTCCACCATTTTTGTGACAGCAGCCACCCTCCTCCTCTCCTACAAAGTCATGGATTACTGATTGGTCCAGGGTATTGTTTATTATTATTATTATTTATTTAATTGATACTCAAAAAAAGAAAAAAACAAGACAAGAATACAAACAGAACAGTAATAAAGACAATATTAGTTACAAATCAATAAAGCAAAAAGCAGTCCTTGAACTATAGTCCCGACCTCCCGTCGGGACGTGCTGAGGCTGGGCGCCGTCATGTTGGGTGCACGCGAAGCATGCTGGGCCAGAAGGGGAAAAAGGAGGCTGAGAGTGGTTGTCAGTGGCAACTCCAGTAGGCTGCTTCCCCTTTTCCTGGTTACGCTGGAGTCTTCTTTGGCTTGCCACGCCTGTGGGCTCTCTTCCGGCCAACGCTGCCTATGATAGATCTTAAAAACTTGGGGTCAGTGAGATTCGGAAATCGCAGCACCTTGCGCCTGCTGGACCTCCTGAGCGGAGCGGGTTGTGTCTTGCTCCTCGTGAAGTAGGGCGAAATGTGAGGAGTGTTGCAAGCCGGTGCAGAGGCAGAAGGTCTGGCCGAGATGGTAGAGCACGGCTTCTCTGCCAGGGGTGTCTTCCTAACCCAGTGGAACACCAGTATCATACGCCTCTTGGATGGGTTGGACATGCTGAAGAAGGTGCTGGAGGCCCAAAGACCAGGGTGACTTCAAAGCGGAGGATGCAGCAGGCAGTTCCCTATCAATGGGGCCAAATCCAAGCAAATGTTAGCTCCAGTCCTGTTAAATCGATCCAGCAAGTAGGAACGTTAAATAAGGATTTAATTCCTCAGGCAGTATGCAAAGACTCTATGTGGCTTTTTGATAGCTGGGAGCCCCCAACTACTGCCACTCTTGACAGCCTGTTGCCCCTTCACTCTGCTTGAATGGGTTATGTCACAATGGTTCCTTAAGCCTTCATCAGGTGTTTGTGAGCATGAAAATGCTGTTGGGAGTTTCAGCAATGAAGGCTCAGGCATAACATACTGTTTGAAAGTCTGAACATTTCCTCTTTTTAAAAAAAAAATACCAAATTTATATACCACTTTTATAATTTATATACAAATTATTAGGAGAGTAAGTTAAAAATATACTGTAGTTTATTCACTTATAGGCTACTTTACATACTGTATTCCTTCTTATACTTCTATCCCACCTTTCCTCCACAGAGCATATACACTTCTGCCTCCACCTTCTCCATTTTATCCTGACAGCAATATTGTGAGCTAGGGCCATAGCTCAGTGGTAGAACAACTGCTTAGCATGCAGAAGGCATCAGGTTCAGTCCCCAGCATCTCCTGGTGGGACTGAGAGAGATCCTGCCTGAAATCTTTTTTTAAAATAATAATAATAATAATAATTTTATTAAATATTTTCTTGTTTTACAGAATAATAATAATAATAATAATAATAATAATTTATTATTTATCCCCAGCCCATCTGGCTGAGTTTCCCCAGCCACTCTGGGCGGCTCCCAATAAAGTGTTAAAAACAGTATAGCGTTAAATATTAAAAACTTCCCTGAACAGGGCTGCCTTCAGATGTATTTTAAAGAAAGGATAGCTGCTTATTTCCTCCACATCTAAAGGGAGGGTGTTCCACAGGGTGGGCGCCACTACCGAGAAGGCCCTCTGTCTGGTTCCCTGTAACCTCACTTCTCGCAATGAGGGAAGCGCCAAAAGGCCCTCGGAGCTGGACCTCAGTGTCCGGGCTGAGCGATGGGGGTGGAGACGCTCCTTCAGGTATACAGGACCAAGGCCGTTTAGGGCTTTAAAGGTCAGCACCAATACTTTGAATTGTGCTCGGAAACGTACTGGGAGCCAATGCAGATCTCTCAGAACCGGTGTTATGTGGTCCCGGTGGCCACTCCCAGTCACCAGTCTAGCTGTTCGAAGTACATTTAGAATGAGAGGCTGCAGACACAGGACTGCCAGTGTTCTCACTTCGCCTTGTATTTCCAGTTCCTGACTCAGCTTCATAGTTTAGTTTCCCCCATCAAACATGTTTGCCAGCCAATGCCTTATTAATCCTAGTTCTATAACTGAGTGTATTTACATGTATGACACTGAATTGATTCTATGGACTGCAGGTTCTTTTAGTTTGCTTGTTTCCTTTGGATTATACGTACAGGCTATAATAACTGCACTTGTTACCATCCACATGAATGTTACAATCATGTATGTTTTTAAAAATATTTTATATGTAAAAGAAGAAATGGTTTTAAATTATTTACATACAAGCTTTTTTTTAATGGAAAAACACATCTGCATGACAATCAGAGGCTGAGACCCTGGAAATTGGCAGAGTGAGTGGAAGTAATTGGGAAAACTTCCAGTGCTTAATTACTGCATGATAGCCTGCTGTTAAAAGCTTGGGAATACAGCCAACGACCAAGAAAAGTGGCAGTCCAATGCAGAATTAGTATTTATCTATAAACACATCAAAGGCAAATTAGAGTTGTTTTATCCCAGTTTCTTAATGATGATCATTGACCATAATAACAAAGGTTAGATTTTCAAAGGAAATTTTTCTAAGAAAATGCCTGAGATTTTTCATTTTCTCTCCCCAAAAGAGAAAAGGCCACTTTGCAGAATTTTCTCTTACTACTCTCCACCATTTTTGTGACAGCAGCCACCCTCCTCCTCTCCTACAAAGCCATGGATTGCTGATTGGTCCAGGGTATTGTTTTTTATTATTATTTATTTAATTGATACTCAAAAAAGAAAAAAACAAGGCAAGATTACAAACAGAACAGTAATAAAGACAATATTAGACAATATTCCAACTCCTGAAGTCCGTGCAGGCCTAACAGGGCAGCTTCTTCTTATTCAGTTCAGCGGCCGGCAGAGGCTGCCCCTCCGCGGGTTTTTCAGCCCCAGCCGTCGAGGCGGAGAAGGGGAAAGGGAAAGCGGGCGCCGGTCGGGACGTGCTGGGGCTGGGCGCCGCCATGTTGGGTGCGCACAAAGCATGCTGGGCCAGAAGGGGAAAAAGGAGGCTGAGAGTGGTTGTCAATGGCAACTCCAGTAGGCCGCTTCCCCTTTTCCTGTTTACGCTGGAGTCTTCTTTGGCTTGCCACGCCTGCGGGCTCTCTTCCGGCCAACGCTGCCAATGACCGATCTTAAAAACCTGGGGTCGGTGAGATTCGGAAATCGCAGCACCTTGTGCCTGCTGGACCTCCGGAGCGGAGCGGCTTGTGTCTTGCTCCTCGTGAAGTAGGGGGAAATGTGAGGAGTGTTGCAAGCCGGTGCAGAGGCAGAAGGTCTGGCCGAGATGGTAGAGCACGGCTTCTCTGTCAGGGGCGTCTTCCTAACCCAGTGGAACACCAGTATCATACACCTCTTAGGTGGGTTGGACATGCTGAAGAAGGTGCTGGAGGCCCAAAGACCAGGGTGACTTCAAAGCGGAGGATGCAGCAGGCAGTTCCCTATCAATGGGGCCAAATCCAAGCAAATGTTAGCTCCAGTCCTGTTAAATCGATCCAGCAATTAGGAACGTTAAATAAGGAATTAATTCCTCAGGCAGTATGCAAAGACTCTATGTGGCTTTTCAATAGCTGGGAGCCCCCAACTACTGCCACTCTTGACAGCCTGTTGCCCCTTCACTCTGCTTGAATGGGTTACGTCACAATGGTTCCTTAAGCCTTCATCAGGTGTTTGTGAGCATGAAAATGCTGTTGGGAGTTTCAGCAATGAAGGCTCAGGCATAACATACTGTTTGAAAGTCTGAACATTTCCTCTTTTTTTATTTAACAAAATTTATATACCACTTTTATAATTTATATACAAATTATTAGGAGAGTAAGTTAAAAATATACTGTAGTTTATTCACTTATAGGCTAGTTTACATACTTGATTCCTTCTTATACTTCTATCCCACCTTTCCTCCACAGAGCATATACACTTCTGCCTCCACCTTCTCCATTTTATCCTGACAGCAATATTGTGAGCTAGGGCCATAGCTCAGTGGTAGAACAACTGCTTAGCATGCAGAAGGCATCAGGTTCAGTCCCCAGCATCTCCTGGTGGGACTGGGAGAGATCCTGCCTGAAATATTATTATTATTATTATTATTATTGATATTCTTGTTCTGCATTGGATTAATAATAATAATAATGCCACTGCCTGATAACACTTCAACAATAAAGATTGCTTTAAATAAAGAACTGGGATTTTGGAGTTCACCTATTTCAAAGTACCATCTGCTAGAGTTTGCATGGGCAGCAGGATTTTCCTTGTGTAGCTGGTTGTTGTTGTTTTAATGCCAGGCTGCTTCTAGGTCACTTGGGAGACGCTGTGTCTCCTTGCCCTCTTCCAGCCGAGAGCAGGCTGTTTGCTCCAGTGTGTCGTTTCTGAACAAGTGGCTTCCATGTGGGGAAGGACGTTCATGTGGGTTCTGCTGCGGAGCGTGGGCAGGCAGCAGGAGAGATCAGGAGGGAAAGCCACGTTGAGAAGGAGCAGCTTGCACCCTGCACCCAAAGGCACCCCACCCCTAACTTCTCCTGGGAAGATACAGTCAGCCCAGGACGTCCATCTTCTCTCCTCCTTGGCCTTTTCACCTCTTCTCCTTCTTGCTACCCAACCTCTTTCTTCCTGCCTCTGCTCATCCAACACCCTACCCTCTGACAGTCCTGGATCACTCTGGGTCACCTCACCTGACCCACAGCAATCCGGGGCTGCCTCCATCTGATTCAGCTGAACCATGGATCCCCCAGAATAGGCCCCATTCAGTTCTGGATTCAGCCCAGTCTGGTGCACAACCACCATGTATACCTTACTAGTGAGATAAATATTTGCATCCAGCCATCTGTTACAGGACAGGCACTGAAACTGCCTGGTCTCCCTGTACAGTGGTACCTCGGGTTACATACGCTTCAGGTTACATACGTTTCAGGTTACAGACTCCGCTAACCCAGAAATAGTGCTTCAGGTTAAGAACTTTGCTTCAGGATGAGAACAGAAATCGTGGTCTAGCAACTGGTTCAAGTCCTAGCTTCCAGGGCAGGAGAAAACAAGCTTCTTTCCTCTTCCATATGACAGCCCTTGAAATATCTGAAGTTAGCTATCATATCTCCTCTAAGTTTCCAAAAGGCGGTGCTTTTGGTGGAGGTGCCAGTACTCGTCTCTTGATAGAAGCTCATGTTCAGTTCTGATAAATTACATCAAATTCTATTGTCTCTGAAAACCAATACACTTTTCAAACCATTTCACCAGGTTAATCGACATGGAGAAAGAAATCCCGTTTCAACTTTTCCCACTAATGAGGTCAAAGAAGACATTTGGCCACAAGGATATGGACAGCTCAGAAAAGTCTGATAGCTGCTGTCAGAAATGAAAGCATGTTGTGGATGATTGATTAAATTTCTTTCCTATTTATTAAGATACTCCTTGATCAGAGTAGACTATAATGGTTTTCTTTGCTTGTTTAATTACCGGTATATGCTCCTAACAAGCAGAAAGCTGAATTCTTCAAAACTATAGAAGAGATACTCTTTGATATTTGATGGCAAATTAATAATGATGGGTGACTTTAAGGGTATGGTGTCCCTAGATTTAGACTGATCTATAAGAAAATCAGACTCTAAAGAAGGGAAACTACCTAATGCTTTTTTCGACATGGTGGCCAACATGGATCTAACTGATATTTGGTGTCTCAGACACCCACTGGTCCGGGAATCCACTTTTTTCTCAAACACAACAATTCTTCAAGTAGAATAGAGTTGTAATGGGCTTTGAAAGACCTGACAACTAGAGTAAAAAAGGATGAGATCCAACCAAGGACGTTATCAGATCACAATGGTATTCTGATGACCATGGCAGGCTAAATGATGCGATACTACATCATATAGAAATTGTTAATAAGCGAATATGTTCCCTACAAGAATTTTTCAACCTCAACCTTAATAAAGGAACAGATCTAAACATGGTTTGGGATGCCAGTAAGGCGGTAATGAGAGGTTTTTTAATCAAACAAAGTGCATGCATATACACCCACACCCACCTCCACACACCATGGAAGCTCGAATTTTGCTAGCCCAAAGATGGAAAATGAGCAATATCCCTAGTAAGGAAGACTGGCAACTTAAGATGATAGAATTTGCAGAAGCAGCAGGTTTAACATAGAATAAGAGGGCAAGAAGAATATTTATTCAAAGAGGAGTGGAACTTTTTTACTGAATATTTAGAAAACAATTGTGTACAATTGAAAACGCTGGTAGTGTTTAGATAAATTCAACAGTATGGTAAATATTTGAAGGATGTAAAATGGAGAAATGATTAGATTTGCTATAGTAAAATATGCAGGAATGATGATAAGTAAAATGAACCATGAAAGGGGAAGGAGGGAAGTTTGTTACAATTGTTACATCATATTATGTAAAATGTTTATTTTGACTGAAAAAATTAATAAAAATTGTTGTTTTTTTAATGCTAAATAATTTTATTTCATTTTTAACGAGGATGGGGAAGGGATGTATGTAGGAAGACACTCTCGGGAGATTTATGCCTTTACAAAATGAAAAACGTACATTTGTGGGAGTTTTTTTCACAAACCAATTCAACATATTCCACCAGTGAGAGCAGATCCCCCAGTCAACAATTTAGCTGCTGCATTCTGCACAGGCTGCAGCTTCTGAATTTAACCCAAGGGAAACCGCACATAGAGAGCATTGCAATAATCCAACCTTGAGATCACCGATGCCAAGACTGCACTTGTCATGCCTGCCTCAGCTTTGGGAGCAAGCCATTTTCCGCCAAGTGAAAGGGAAAATAGTTAACCCTCAGGAAAATTGCCCCCATCTTCTTCCCTCCCCAGAACGGAATTTCATTTTATTTTTTTAAAAAGCTCCTGCTCATTTGTGCATATAAAACTTTATTCTATCATCAAACCAAATCTCAATAAGGTCAGTAAGTGGACAGAAGATCCTGACTAGAATATAAACAATCTTTGGCCAGGGAGTTTGCGGAGTAAAATATACAGGATTCAAATGAAGGACTAACTGTGGACTGACAGACTTGCAGAAAAGAACCAACTGACCTCTGGAGAATCAGGAAACATTACAAATAGTCAGTAAGACACAAAGCTTGGCAAGGAAGGAAGGAAGGAAGGAAGGGAGAGAGAGAGAGAGAGAGAGAGAGAGAGAGAGAGAGAAAGAAAGAAAGAAAGAAAGAAAGGGAGGAAGGGAGGAAGGGGGCTGGCTCATGGCAGAGGAGACCAGACAAAGCAACATGTCCACTAAGTGGGAAGTAGCGATGGAAGAGCTGGCTGCATTTCCATGAACATTTGAATCTAAGCTCTAGGTACTATCAGTATTGCCAGAACTAAGTATGGTACAGAAGCCCCATAGCCATCAATGTATTTAAGATTATTCATCCTGTCTTAAAAAGCATAGGGTATGTAAAAGTCAGGCACTGAAAGATTGGCTTATAGCACATCCCTGTTATTCTTCTAGAAGTATACAGTATTTGCTTCTGGTAGAGGTCTAGGTTTGAATTTTCACAGACTAGTGCTCTGCTCTTTAACATTTCCATTCGGTGCACTAAAAATATGGTGGAAGAGAACACTAAAAAGCACTTACTGTCTATGAGAAGAGGAGCAGCCTCCAGCCAAAAACAGATATAAAACCCAGCACGGAATTTCAGAGGTAGTGTGATTCTCCTCATAAACCTGTGCTGGAATCCAGCGGTGGAGAAAAATAGGGTTGCCATACACCCAGGGATTCCTGGACATGTCCTCTTTTGCGGGGTCCTACACGCCCATCCAGGGGGAATTTTTACATTTTAAGGTAAATGTCCTGGAATTTGGGGCAACCTGGGCTCTGGTTCAGGTTCAGGAATGGGCGGCTCTGGCTTGGCGGTGGTGCTATCTGGAGATTGCCCTAAAAAAGCTCAACTACTTTTTGCGTCGGGATTTTTAGGTCTTGAAATATGGCAGCCCTAAGAAAGAAAAAGTAGGTGGCCGTTTGGAGCAGAAAAACAGTTCGCAAGGAAAGGGCAAAGCACCTTGCTGCCTCTCTCCATGCCTCAGAGGTTCCTTCACTCACAACTATGACTTCTTTACTTTTAGATAGCAATGGCTGTTGTGGCTTCCTTCCAGATCTTTGTGTACAATGTGTGGTCTCAGACCCTCCAAGCGTGCCCTATTTTCTAGGGACGTCCCAGATTTAGAGAAGCCATCCCAGTTTCTGATCTGATCCCGGAATGTCGCACTTTTACAAGCTAACTACGCATTTTTATATTATAAAAATAAGTCCTAGGTGTGTCGGGGATTGAACTTGAACCCTTCCAAATGCAACGTATGTGCTCAACTGTGTGCCCAAATCCTCTCTATCCCTTCTGCTGTATCTGTTGTCACTCATATTAGACATAAGCCTCACTGTTTCACTGAAGCTGGTAAACCTGGTTGGGTTGTCCACATGGGAATGTTTGTGTGCCTCCTCCTCGAGATGTCCGGAGGGTGGCAACACGAGAACGGGGCCTTCTCTGCAGTGGCTCCCCATCTGTGGGATGCTCTCCCCGGGGAAGTTCTCCTGGTGCCTTCATTATTACACATCTTTAGGCACCAGGCAAAAATGTTCCTTTTTAACTGGGCCTTTGGTTGATCCGTTTTTATTATGTATTTTGTAGATTTATATCTTGATTTTATTCTGTGAACCGCCCTGAGGCCCCTGGGTAAAGGGTGGTATATAAATTCAATAAACAAAAAACAATAATGTTCCTGTTTAAGGAGATCATTTTGCAAAAGGAATGTTTTAAACTTGATTGGATTGAGGCGTTCACAAAGTAAAGGAATGATTGAACTCTGATTAATAAGAATACAGAATAAGAATAATAAGAACACAGAGGCTTGAACCAGCAAGACTCTGGGAAGGGTGCGTATAATATTCTCTCTGTGCCTCTAGCCCCCTCGGCCCAGGTCCTTTTATTCACAAAAGAACTTTTTACAGAGTGTTCGAAAGAACCAATCAGATTTCTTCTGAGCATTTCAACAAACCCACGAGGGGAGAAGTTAAACCACCAAAACTAATTAACAGAACTACAAAGGAGTCCATTTGGCAACCCCGGAGGTGATAAACAAGCAATATACATGATAAGGAGGATGGCCAGGAGGACAACAGTCATTATCACCTTCATGTGAGATCTGTTTCCTGGCCCTAAGATTAACATCCTAGGATTAACATATTAGAAAGCTACTTCAAAGAAGCTTGCCCACCATCTTTGATGACCCAGGAGCCTGCCTGGCGAAGCAACTGGGCTGTGTCAGTGACTTGTGAAGAGAGAGAAATGGGCAGTAGAGGTAATGGCCAGAGATGCAGAGGGTTGTGGGATTTGATCAGAAATTGTTGTCAATGTATCAAAGCCAGTCAACACAATGCATTCATCGTGGACACAATGGCTTGATGCATATTTTATAATTCCTCATTGTAATCCCATCTGATCCCACACTCTGGATATTTGCACTCCTACATTGGATTATTCATTATTTAGAGCCCCAAAGGCTCCCTGTGTAGCAACTAAAACAAGGCAGTCCCTACCTGCAAGCATACAATCTTAATAATGATAATAATAATAAGAAAAAAGATACACAAGGGAAAAAGGATGGGAGGGAAGATGACAAACTCAAACTTGACTCTACCAATTCTTAAACTGTTGTTCTTCTAATGGCCAACGGGCACAATTCAGAAGCAGGAGGTGTCTGATACAGCTGGTCTTTGGGCAAAGCCGATGGCACAAGACCTGCATAATATTAACACAGGTTATCCACACCTGGATCAAACCTCATCGCTTGGCAGTCTCCATGAACACGGCGACTGAAAGGGATATGCAATGGTCCTTCAGTGAGGTCATTTTCAGAAAACGAGACATTTTTCGCTCACTTCTTCCTAAGCATTCATTTCCAGCATAGGAAAGGATAAATCCTTTTGAAATCTAGGCACAGAATCTTGCTTTGTCACAAAATCAGTGACTTTGTTCTCATCAGTGTGAAACACAGATTTGTGAGTATTCATTTTTTCTGTTATTATCACCATTAAATGTATAAAGCATAGTAAATGTGTGATCAAGAAATATCTCAGAAAGAGTCATTTGTGTGCTAGCCCAAAATAATCTTCATTTGAATACAGTATCAGTGGAAAAACTCATTTGGATCTGGGATTAGGAGGGGGCTTGAAGAAAATAAAACTGATTACAAGTGTTTGACATGTCTAGCATGTCATATTTCATTTCCTGCCCCAGAATCTACTAATCTTATCTATATCTAATTCTATCTGAATAAACATCTACATCTATATCTCAAAGTGAGCACAGAATTTATAGCTACATCCTATAGTTCATAGGGAGTAAGTTTATTGAGAAGGTCCTTAAATGATGTGATTTATATTTTGAATCAATACAGTTCCCCTAGAATAACTTGGGCTCCACCTGTCCTATATATTTAAAACAGTATTACACCACTCTAAACAGTCACAACTTCCCCGCAAATATCCTGGAAACTGTCATTTGTTAGGGGTGCCGAGATCTGTTAGAAGACCGATATTCCCTTCACAGAACTGGACTTCCCAGAGTGGTTTCACAATCAATGCCTCTCTTCCAAAGGAACTCCATTTAAAGTAGCATGACAATTTTCATAGATTATAGCCATAGTGTAAATTTGAAGGAGGGAATGTAAGACTAAGTACATATTAACACCCTAGTCCTAAACGCAGTTACTTGCTGGGAGTATGTGCTATTAATTTCATGCTGCCAGTATCACAGGTTTAAAGTGCGGCAGAAATTCATTTTATCTCCCCTTTAAAACAACACCCTCACACTCCCTATCTTTGTCACATTCTGAGCTCTCACTCTCATGACAGGACAAAGAAAAGGGGCCACCAACTGAAGGTTTATATTTTTCCCCCGTCCATGGTCCTGTCCTTTGCTAGCCAACATGCAGAAGCTGTGGCAAAGGAATTGGGGGAGTGTGTTTGAGGTGAAAAGCGAATCTGAAGGTTACTGGACTGCAGAGCCGAAATAGGCAAAGGGGGTGTGATGGTAAGGAAAAGTCCCATGTGCCCTATGAAAAACAAAAGGAGCAGGGGACAGCGAGGAATGGAAAGTTTGTTCTAGTTCTCAGCTGGTCCCTTTTGTTGAGATTGAGGGAGATTGAGGGACCCATCTTCACCTTTGGAAAGTGGCATAGCAAGGGTTGCTGACGTCTGGGGCATGCAACCTGCCTGCCTGCGCAGAGGGGAGCCTGACCGGCTGGCGTGGCCCTTGGTGAAGCCCGCAGAGAGGAGCACCGGCAGGGCTGCACTCGGGGGTTGCCCCTTGTCTGCCCCCTCCATCCATGCCTGCTCATCTTGGGTCTGGGCTGCTCCCGCCAGGAGCGTCGCACCAGGAAGGGAGCAAGCGCATCCGTGGTTGACGGCCTCTGCCAGTGATGCAACAGTGAGGCCAGACCGGGCTTCTGGGCCCAGAAAACCCCAAGGGCAGGCAAGCATGGGGCTTGCTGCGATGTGCCTGGGCAGCAGTGGCGGCTCCCTAACAGGTTGTGCAGCCCAGGAGGAGAGGCACGAGAATCAGCCCCCCCCCCCGCAAAATGCGCACAAAGCAACCACCCCTCTCATGCCCCCCACACTACGCCAATGGTGTAGATAATAGCTAACTAGGTAGACCAATGTTCTGATTCAGTAAAAGGCAATTTCCCAGGTTCCAGTGAAGACATTCAGGAGAAGAAGGTGGCCAGATTATTCAGTAAGTCCACAATTTATACACATTTAACTTGTGCACTTTCAGTTTTACATACATTGCAAAATAAAAATAAAAATCTTTTTAAAGGGGTGGAAAAGGGGCAGGGAAAAATAATTTTGGCAATCCCACCCACCACAGACTATATGTGATTTTGACAGTTGTACCTTGGAAGTCGAACTGAATCCGTTCCGGAAGTCCATTCGACTTCCAAAATGTTTGGAAACCAAAGCACAGCTTCTGATGGGCTGCAGGAAGCTCCTGCAACCCATCGGAAGCCATGGAAGTCCCATTGGATGTTCGGCTTCCAAAAGAACGTTCGAAAACCGGAACACTCACTTCTGAATTTTGATCGCTCGGGAGCCAATTTGTTTGGGAGCCAAGGCATTTGAGATTCAAGGTACGACTGAATGTGACTATATAGTCACACATATTTGACTATATGTGATTATGGTTTTCGGTGCAACCCCCAAAATGTAATCCTCATGTAAACTGGGGGATTACTGTATGCCTATATTTTAAAATCAGTTTATTCCATATCTCTCATTCCTTTAACCTTTGTTGTTAATACCTAGCCTGTTAGGCTTCATATTGAATGTCTTCAGCAGACTAAATACTCAAGATCATCACTTATTAAGATACATAGTTACATATTTTATTGTTGTCTCTTGTATCATGTAGGTATTTCTTATTCCTTGACTGAGAAGATGAACAATTCTTCCATGATGCCAGATTATGGGATAACAACAACTTTAGACTATAATATTGACGCAGGCCTAGTCTACAACCATGCTGTGGAAGCATTTGCAACTAATTTTCTGCCACCGTTTTACTCTTTGGTGCTCATATTTGGCCTGTTGGGCAACTCACTGGTGGTGCTGATCCTGATCAGATACAAGAAGCTCAAGAGCATGACTGATATCTACCTGCTCAATTTAGCCATCTCGGACTTGCTTGTCATCTTCTCACTCCCATTTTGGGCTTATTACGCAGGGCACGAGTGGATATTTGGAGTTGCAATGTGCAAAATTCTCTTTGGGATCTATTATATAGGCTTCTACTGCGGAAGTTTTTTCATAATCCTTTTGACAATCGATAGATACCTGGCCATCGTCCATGCAGTGTTTGCATTAAAAGCCAGGACGATCACCTATGGCACCGTCACAAGCGTCGTCACTTGGGTGGTGGTCTTATTAGCCTCTGTGCCAGAATTTGTATTTCACCGTGTTCAAAAGGCAAATGAGACATACGAATGTACTATTCATTATCCCTTAGAAAATGAAAAAGTATGGAAGCAATTTCTAACTTTAATGAAGTTCATTTTGGGCTTAGCCATTCCTGCAGTCATCATTATCTACTGTTACATGTGGATTATCATGATTTTGATTAAGGGTAGAAATCAGAGAAAGCAGAAGGCTGTCAAGCTTATTGCTGTGATCATCATTGTTTATTTCCTCTTCTGGATGCCATACAACATTGCCCTCTTGCTGCAGACCTTTCAAGATTCATTTTTTTCATCTAACTCAGAGAATAATATTGAGAACAAGTTATTTGTAGCCATTTCTGTGACAGAGACAATTGCTGCGATCCACTGTTGCATCAACCCTGTGATTTATGCCTTTGTGGGGCAGAAATTTAGGAAACATATCTCTACCTTTTTCCAAAGCATATGTTCCTCCTCTCTATAAGATCTGCCCAGGCCAGGCTCACCCCAACTTAGAATGGTCTACTTCCTACACAACTACAACAGATGATGACATTTCCATAGGTTTGTGAAGTGATTTCCAGTTATGTTTGTACATCTTTTCCTTCCTAACTATTTAGTTGGTATATCTGGGAGAAGTATGTTACCCTGCCAAGTCGGAGAGGAAAACGATAACCTGTGTCCTTAGACTATTGGTCTATTAACCCAGTATTGTCTACTTGGATAAGCAGCAATTGATCCTGGACTTCAGGCTGAGTTTTTCTCAAGTCCTGCTACCAGAAGGCCCTCTAAGGGAAGATATCAAGGACTGAAGTTGGAACCTTCTGCATGGAAAGCAATGGAACTTACTCCCAGTTCACTTTGTATATAACTGTAGTCATGCTGATCCTAATAAATTCCATATAGTGCCACTTTTGGGAGAGTGTATTTTATTTTATTGAGGGACACGGGTGGCGCTGTGGGTAAAACCTCAGCGCCTAGGACTTGCCGATCGTCAGGTCGGTGGTTCGAATCCCCACGGTGGGGTGCACTCCCGTTGCTCAGTCCCAGCGCCTGCCCACCTAGCAGTTCGAAAGCACCCTTAAGTGCAAGTAGATAAATAGGTACCGCTTTATAGCGGGAAGGTAAACGGCATTTCTGTGTGCTGCGCTGGTGCTGGCTCGCCAGAGCAGCTTCGTCACGCTGGCCACATGACCCGGAAGTGTCTCCGGACAGCGCTGGCTCCCGGCCTCTTAAGTGAGATGGGCGCACAACCCTAGAGTCGGACACGACTGGCCCGTACGGGCAGGGGTACCTTTACCTTTACCTTTATTTTATTTTATTAGGGATTAACACAGCTGATTGCCTTTTTGTACCCTCCTTCGGAAGTGCACTTCTGGGGAATGTCGTGATGAGCTCTTTTTCACACTGTTTGCAACCATGGTTTTTAAAATATTTAGATTTTATTGAAAACTTTCAGTAGAGAAATAAAGTAAACATTTTTGAGGAAAAGCCAACACAACACAAAACAAAGAGAAAAGTACTTGAAACTGTGGTACAATACAGTAGGTAAGTATGACCAAGGCTTTTTTTTTCAGGTGGAACATTCCAGAACTCGATTCCACAGCACATCTCAGGTGGGCGCCATTGCCATTGTAACAGAATGAGGGAGGGTTTCATGTTGAGTTCCGGCACCTCTTTTTCTAGAAAAAGAGCACTGAGGTATTACAATTATTGTAAAAAGTATAAACCTATTAAAAAGTCATTATGCTTTTTATAAAGCAATCCAAATGCCATTAAAGGTAAAGGACCCCTGGACAGTTAGGTCCAGTCAAAGGCGACTATGGGATTGCAGCGCTCGTCTTGCTTTCAGGCTGAGGGAGCCGGCATTTGTCCACAGACAGCTTCCTAGGTCATGTGGCCAGCCTGACTAAGCCGCTTCTGGTGCAACAGGACACTGTGACGAGTGCCAGAGCGCCGTTTACCTTCCTGCCACAGTGGTGCCTATTTATCTCTTTGCCCTGGTGTGCTTTAGAAATGCTACGTTGGCAGAAGCTGGGATGGAGCAACGGGAGCTCGCCCCAATGCATGGATTTGAACCGCCAACCTTCGGATTAGCAAGCCCAAGAGGCTCAGTGGTTTAGACCACAGTGCCACCCATGTCCAGATGTTGTTATACTTATCCTTACACAATTTACATTTAAAAGCAATCTGTTTTTATGTTGCAAGTGTAGTTATATATTCTATCCATCATTCAAAGACAGCCATGGTATTATCCTTCCAGAATGTCAATCTAAGTCTTTTAGCAGAAGTAAGGGCACAAAGACTCTATTTTTGTTGACCTGCTATCAAACCACACACAGGCAACCTATGATTTGCCTTGGGGTTGTGTTCTGGGTGATTGCGTGTGTTGACAGAGCATGCAAATGCCCGCTCTGCCATGCCCTCTTCTCTGTGTTGGTGGTCATATGTCATTTGGATGCTTCTAAAATGGTTGACACCTGTATACAGTGGTACCTCGGGTTACAGACGCTTCAGGTTACAGACGCTTCAAGTTACAGACTCCGCTAACCCAGAAATAGTACCTCGGGTTAAGAACTTTGCTTCAGGATGAGAACAGAAATTGTGTAGCGGCGGCAGCGTGGCAGCAGCGAGAGGCCCCATTAGCTAGAGTGGTACCTCAGGTTAAGAACGGTTTCAGGTTAAGAACATACCTCCAGAATGAATTAAGTTCTTAACCCAAGGTATCACTGTAGTTGGGATGTGATTTAGGATAATATGATCATCTGACAATTTTAAATGTTTCCCCCAAGTAATATTTATACATCTTAATACTTTCCTCCAAAATCTGACGTTGCATAAACATACGTTTCAAAGAAGCATTATCCTAACTACCGTACATCTCCAGCAGTGTGTTGTTCTACACTGTCTGTTTATGTCCAAACATAGCGGAGTCTAATAAATACTTAATATTATTTTTTGTTATGTAGTTTGTAATCTAGCGACACCAAAGTTAAAACTTTGTCCCACTGAATAGGTAAAATATTCAGTTCTTTATTCATTTCTCAGATTCTGTACATTGAAACCAGGTACAATAGTACCTTGGATCCCGAACGCCTTGGTACTTGGACGTTTTGGCTCCCCAGTGCCGCAAACACATAAGTGAGTGTTCCAGTTTGCAAACGTTCTTTGGAACTCGAACGTCCAATGGTACTTCCACGGCTTCCAATTGGCTGCAGGAGCTTCCTTAATTGTTTAGCTACTGAATCTGATAGGGACTTAATGAGCTCGGGCCTATTCCTGTCTTGATGTACCTGCAAACAAGGGTTCCCCAGACTTAGGTCTCCAGCAGTTGTTGGACTACAACTCCCATCATCCCTAGCTAGCAGGACCAGCGGTCAGGGATCATGGGAGATGTAGTCCCAAAAACAGCTGGCGGCCCAAGTTTGAAAGCCCTGCTCCAAACCATCACCAACTTCAATTTCTTCTCTGGTAGGTCCTGTCTGAGGAGATAACTAACCCAACAGTGTACCAGTTATGGCATTCAAACCAGAAACCTCCTTCCCCAAGGCTAACAATTCCCTCTGATGTTTGTTTTGTCAAGAGACACTGGTCGCACAAAAGTTCACACAGTGAGGGAGTTTCAGTCTCTGTTGTACCTGTTCTGTCCACTGTACCTTCCACAGCTACCTTAGTGTGTTCTGAGATCTGCAACTAGTGTGCTTCCTCCTCTGGCGCAGAATAAGTGTTGGAGGGGAGGGCATGGAATCAATTTTGCAGTTCATTTTGCAGTTCCAGTGACACAGCATGGCTCCCGACAGACCTGCCTGTGCATGTCATGTTCCCCCAAAGGTTCTCCTCCTCCAATGGGAGAGCCAGTGTGGTGTAGTGGTTAAGAGCGGTAGTCTCGTAATCTGGGGAACCGGGTTCGCGTCTCCGCTCCTCCACATGCAGCTGCTGGGTGACCTTGGGCCAGTCACACTTCTCTGAAGTCTCTCAGCCCCACTCACCTCACAGAGTGTTTGTTGTGGGGGAGGAAGGGAAAGGAGAATGTTAGCCGCTTTGAGACTCCTTCGGGTAGTGATAAAGCGGGATATCAAATCCAAACTCTTCTTCTTCTTCTTCTTCTCCCTCCACCATAGGAGCACCCCACCTGTGTTGCTGTTCCAGCACAGTCCACTCTGCACAATCGAGAAATTCCTCATCTTGCCTTAAAGCTCAAAATGTGGCCATGCAGGCCTCAGGTTGCAGTACCTACTCTTCCAGCAAGGCAACCAGTTTGCAGTTGCTATGGTTGTAGTTTTGCATGTTCTCAAGCTGGATGACAAACACGGCACAGGTGTTGCAAGTCACTGCAGCAGCGGCTCCCTCGCCCTCCATATCTCTTGGTCCTGTGCACACTGTGAGGACTCAGCTATACAGCTGCAAATAACATGTTTAAAGTGTGTTTTTAGTGCAATATACAATGTGATGGTGATGATGGGCCTTATGGAAAATTCAATGTATTTTAAAAAACGCTTTAAAAAAAAGCATTTTCAGAATGTTTTTTTTTTATGTGTATAGATTCCACCTGAGACAGCACTCTGGGCCTCCTCCACTAAACGCCCTTGCAAACGTCCTTGTTTATGAGTCCTTGTTTATGAGTCCTGTTCCTCCCTCTCTGACCATGTGCTCTAGCAGAGCATGCAGCCACTCCCACAAACTGTCAATCAAGTCTCCAGACAGCTCAGACAAACTACCAGCCTTAATCCAAAAGACACACGCTCACTCTCTTCATTCTTGTCCACCAGTCCCTTGTAAATGCCCCTGCTTACAAGTGCTGTTCACAAATAATCAATTGCATACGTATATGTGTATATCTAGCCTGAGGAGTTTGCAATTCTATTCTGACAGTGGGGAAAACATCGAGGACAGAAAATTAATGTCTGTTGCGGATAAAGGTTAAAGAGGTTAAGCCAAAAGCTTGCACCATGGCAGTTTAAGCGAGCCAGTAACAATTGCTGCACCACTCAAGTTCTGAGTCCAATAGGCTTCCCCAAAAGTCTTTCCTGGGTGGTGCCCTTAGTCATCTTTCAACAGAAATTGAATCATGTCGAGTACAGCATGTTGACAGGGTTGTTTTCTGCCTTGACCTCAGTGACCAAAATTGCATCTATATGTCCTTTACAAATGATGGGTGACATCCTGGAAATCTGCAAAGATGTGGATATTTCCAACTATAGCACCTATTAAACTGGATATAACTCTTATTTGCCATTCCCCCAGTAAAATACAGTTTTAATATGGATAGGACTTAAAGATAATAATAATAGAATCCTGTCTTTATCTTACCATGTCATTATCTCACGGGGAAACCACATGTGTAAGGGAGTTACAGCAGTCACATTAAAAAACAACAACAACTAAAGTTTTGGGAAGATGCGGTTGTGAATGGAGGAGCTTCTGATGGGTGGAGAGAGAGGCAGCAGGGTGCTTTGCCTTTCCCCTTCCAACCACTTTTTCTGC